GTTAATGTAACAGTGCATTTGACTTACTGACTAAATAAACCTACTGAGTGGCTTTGGGATGTCCTTGAGCTACTCAGAAAGTAACCGGATAGCCAAGCTAAAACGTAACCAATGAGGGCCAAAACAAACCTTGCCGAAAATTAAATCACCATGAGGCTAAAATCGAAGTGTGAATGGTAAATAATCCCAATAAACATCGTACATGTTACAAAAGCTTTGACTTTGGTGACTAGGAACCCTCGTGCTAGCCCTCAGCTATGTATGGTGTTCCCGCTTATCTTTATATTTGCAAGAAGAGTGGTATAATTTTACTTTATTGTGATGAATATTCTTGAATGTGCGAATTAACCAGCGGTGTCGTGCATTATTTTCACTGTGTGGGTTTTACTCCTTTGGAGTTCATAGATTCCCACACGATCTTCACACTAGGTTTTGGTGAAATTGCGGGATATGGACGACAGCGGAATTACTTCGTGCAGTTTGTGACTCGTCAGCCACCTAAGCCATTTGTGTCCCAATTGGAACTCGAAATGTGTTACTTCAACTTAGTATCCAACATCCTTGCACATGGACCACATGATCGACAACCAGCTTCATTTATGCCTGACTATATTATTTTCATTCAACATGTTCTTATTTTCAAGGTTTGATTTGCCACCGGCATACAAAATATAGGCTTTTGGTAAAGTTCAACAAGGAAAAACCCACTGTTCAGGGTGCTGTAACGACCGTTACACTCGAGTTTACAGGTAGAAGTAAATGTATTTGATGATAACTGATGATAACTGTCCACTAATGACCGACTTTACCAGTTCACCATGCCCTGCATTTGTGAAAATCCCTCCTATCACAAAACGTAGGCCTCCCTGCCTACTTTTTTGTATTATTACGATAGGTGAAAGATTATAAGAACAAGGAAAACTGTCCTTCATTATTAAGTACAAGCGAGAAAGGGCTTTAAGCCCAAGCTGAATCTCGAGACCAAGTTCATGGTAAGGTCAGCAAAGTGACGTGATTGAACATACACATAAAGACAAAATGAACCGTTATCAAGTCAAGGATATCACCTACAAGAAAACTGCTCATTTTTGAACAGTGAGGACATGTGATGTAGTAGAAATGGAAGATAACCCGGGGTGTTAAATTTCAGGTGTGTGTGTGGGGGGGGTAGATATAAGGCAACTATAACTAAGCAAGCTCTCAAACATTTTGTCGTGTGATCAGAGATTTGTGTGTTCTATTGCGAAAGAACGCTGCTCATTTCTGATTTGTTTATTGTGACGGTATTTTGCCCCATTCATCTAATTTTCTCATTCCTTAAAGGGAAAAAATTACAGTCAGCCCGTTCCAGTTCAGTGATAAACCAGGGCACAGGTATAACACTGTTTGGCGACGGTGGAAAATTGATATTTGAGTGAAGTTTTTACGGCAGCCATTAAAACAACAAAAGGAACGGTTTGAGCTTTTGATTGAGCGTCATTCTGTGCATCGAAGTGCAGATAGCTCACCGATTTCTACTTTTGAATTAATGCTTCAAAGTATCAGTTGATTTCATATTGAGCCTGATATTGGCATCATGTTTGAATAGTGATATCGTAGATTTCAGGATGTCCTGAAAAATAATGAAACCTCTCTTGACAGTGCCGCTCGTGTTCGACTTTTGCTTCATAAATTGGGCCCGACAGAACACAAAAAACACTACCGTTTTATCCTCCCCAAACATCCAAGAGACACCGACTTGAAGAAACAGTTAAACACCTTAACGCAATCTTTGGTGAACGACCGTCTTTGTTCATTATGTGCTATCAGTGCCTAAATGTTTCTATGGCAGTTGACGGTGATTTTTTCTCCTACGCCAGCCTTGTTAATCGTGAGCGCTAACGCTTCAAACTCAAAGGCCTCACAGATGATCAGTTCAGAACTCTTATTTTTGTCTATGGTCTCCACTCACCCACCGAAAGTGACACTCACACATGGTCATTATCCTAACTGGAAACTGACTGCCCCCAGGTTAGGTGTACTGTCTCAATTGAACCTGGTAGGTTATTATTCATTTCAAATCCAACATCACTTCTCAAAAGTAACTGCGAAATGAATGTGAACCCGAATCGCATGGCGGTTTATCTTTCCTTTCGAAAATGGGTCGTTTTCATTGTGCGTGAAAAGCTATTCATAGATGTTATCGCAAAAAATTGTTTTTTTTTTAAATTCATGTTGAACGCAAGTTATTAGTTAACCTCATTTTGTAATATGCTTTCCAGCTGCTCCAACAGTAACGAAAATCTTCCTAGTAGTCCGTCGTTCAGTTTCTTTTTGACCAGCTACAATCAGTGCCCTCAAATGACCATTATCTCTAAGGTCAAGTGGTCAACATAAGCATTGCTTATCTTCAAGTACAAGTCTTCAGAGCAAACTTTCCAGAATCACTCCTTATGTGTATTCTGAGACAACATCACCACAAACTTCAGACATCATTACAACTATTAAAACACTTCTTGTCGCAATGACAGTAAACGAGCAAAATATGATGAAAATGTTGGTCCACCTCACACATGAATGTTATTTTCGTTCAAGTTCCTTTCTGAACAGATATGAAAGGGACATTTTTGTAGACCTCAGATGATCCTTTGATTATTTTTCACATCAGGACATGACCCTTCTTTCATGTGATGTAGGTCAAATTGTTTGCTCTTGAGTCGTGTGAAGAATGTCAAGCGTGGACGAGTGGGTGTATCCAATTGGTAGTAATCAACAATTCAAAGTCGAAATTCTACCCTTCTTGATCATCACGGAGGTAAATTCGCAAATGTCAGTCCAGTCTCTCAGCATCATCCGGTATTCTACACACACTAACTAACGTGCATAAAAAATGAAAATGAAAATGCAGCGGTACGATGACTCCTCAATATTCACGGGGAAATGTGTTCCCAGACTACACCAATGTCAAACTTTCTTTACATTATTTAAATACGTTCTGTATACCTCTTGTTTCAAGCAAGCAATGGAGTTTCATTAAAAGTACTTCCGCCCTGCCAGAATGAGAACAGTAGTGACTTGCGTTATCCATTCTTTGATATATAGATCAGTGTTCAAACATGTTTACGCTACGCACTATGGAAGCGTTTCACACAGGAAAGTCTGTAATGACCAAATCGATTGAGTTATCCATATCAACTTGCACACAGAAAATGTATTAGACGACTGATGAGCCGAACCGAAAATTGGAGAGGCAAGTGGCGCGGAGGCCGGATTCTTATCCATGGATCGATATTGCTTGAAGTTTATTTCCCAAATTGGGTATCTGTCATATTCTTAAAACAGTCATTCTGGAATAAATGTATGTATGTCGTTTTCGGAAAAGTCAGAAAATGTTTCGAGAGAAATTTATCGAATTGGTAATAAACCGAATTTTTCTCTTGATAAGGAGAAACCACAAATTTGTGGGATGAAATCCATTAGATAAGATCAGGCAGCTTCGCTCAACTGCATAGGCTCCTCACCAGTGAGTGTTTGGCGTAGAGAAAGATGGATGACAGGGTATCGTTTGACACATCGAACACATCGGGTGAATCATGGCCACAAAAGAGGCACGACAAAGGAATCAATCAATTGCCCCGGATAACACCCGACTAAACACCCAAGTGGAAAATGTAATCAAAACACAAAGCAAGACCAAGCCTACAAATCAAACCTAATGGAGAATATCATCTTCAATATCATCATCAGTAGCAACAGCAGCAGAAACAGAAGCAGCAGCAGTATTAGCATTACCATCATCGTCATAACAAACAATAATATCGGTGGTAGCATAAGTAAAATGCTGTCTCTTCATATCGCTGTGAGAGAAATGGCCTGGAATCTGTTGATGGAAAACTTTTCGCGATATTGGTTCCAATCCCACCACTACCGTCCAACCTTTCCCCTTTGCATGTGTTACCAGGTATTGCCTAAATGGCTGGCGGTCACCCCTTCCTGAAAGTCCTTTGTGCATTTACATACTCAATACAGGTAGATTAAAAGTAGGTAGTAGAAATCAATAGATGAAAACTTCGACACTCAGAACATCAATCATTTGAAATAAATTAGTATTTTCAAATCAAACGGTAACGTTTTGGAGCGTAATATTGAATTCAGCCAACCCACTTCCTTCATTGAAGATCAAATCAGCGGGTCAGATATCACAATGTCTTATATCAACCTACAGTCTGCAGGAATCTGAAGAAGATCCACATGTTGTGCTTAATCTGTGTGTGACGGAGAGGGGGGGGCGTACAATGGTTTTGGCTTACCAAAATCTGATGCACACTCTGCTAATTGTGTGCACGGGGAACGCCTATCGAGTTGAATATTCAACCATTGCTCCGTCAAACCTTTCGCATCATCAACTCCATGCGAATTCGCTTTGATAAACTTGAATTATTGCAGTGAATTGGGTCCAGACGAATAGCCTCTACTCGGATTGGCTTAACCATATAATTTTATCTTTTGGGTGGGCGTTGGGTGCGAAATTTTATGCTTGTTGCTGTTGTTGTTGTTGTTTGTGAGCCCCCTTACCGGAACGACCCTCGGTCGTTTCGTTGCAATGTGCGATTTGTGTGCATGTCTGTCTGTGTGTGTGTTGCATAGTTGAACGTGTGCACCAGCGTGCATTTGTGTTTGTGCCCGCTAGTCTCCTAAAGGTTGAATGGATGAGTGGCTGGTTAGCTGAGTGACTGATTGACCGAACACTGCTAGGCGTGCAGTGGCACTCACCTGGTCTGTGCAACCACCCTAAATTTGATTGGTTCATTCCCGGTTGTGAATTCGGTCGTCTGACGGTTGCCTTCCCCATCTCCTGGAAAGGGGGTTTCAAAGTTGAAAATTCACTCATGATCTGGTGATTATGACACCGTTGGCAGAATGCACCAAACCGGTGGATCACCGTGGACACCTAGTGATTTTGTGGTTATCTTGAGCTAAATTCAACAAGCAGCGCACAGCAGACGACCCTGTTTGACATAATGCGTGCTCCGGATTTCTCATTCATCTGGATGACTATCACCCCGTGGATTATCTTAGCTTTGGGTTGTTTGATGACCGCACCTGGTCTACGGTTCGTATACAGTCATACTGTTGAGCTGAGACGTCCCCGGTTTGGATTAGCTCAGACTCATCTAGTGGGTCCGTTGAATCCGACAACAGACCACGACGTGGCTGACAAGACGCTAACTCACACCCGGTCGAATGTGTACGCCACAAAGGGATCAGCCTATCACAAGCTAGCCGATCACTCAGCGCGTTCGTTCGATCCCATATCCAAACAGAGGAATCCTGTGAATGCGGATGAACCGAACTGGCTGACCAGATTCCCACCGGATCAAGATCTATTCAGATCGTCCCGAATGGGATCCCAGTCATCAAACAAACGGAGTATACAACTGTCTAGCCAACTACGGAGAAATCACTCACGTCGCAAGACTGGTCGTGTTGCATCAAGTTCACTGGGGAAAGGCACTGCAATTACCGCAATGGAGGAGCCGAAGGGGAACGTCACACAAACTCGCTGGTGGTAAGTTTCTGCTACAATGACCTTCCCCTTTTACTCATGAGCTATCGAGAATTTCCAAATTTTGTCAATGATTAATCAGGACAAACGGTTGAGTGGGAATTAAGGTTAAATAGCAAAACTGACCAATTAAAACCGTCTAACCAGTCTGGGTATGCAGTCGGTCTAATATGAGAAAGATAAGGTTCTTACGCGTTCAGCCTAGTTGAGTCTCGTTTTCAAGTACTAACCAATCGCGTAATTAGTGTCAACTGATGGGTAGTTCATAGTTTTCACAAGTGTCCATTTAAACCACCAAACAACTTGATGAATCTAATAAACTGTGATTTTATGTTGAATTTGGAATCAGATTATTTTGAATCGAGGAGAATAAAAAATCAGTGTTGTGCAATGAACCTCCACAGGAAAAGTGCCGTAACTTCTCAGGATAGTTTCACGGATACATAATGTTTAAGTTTCCGTTGATTAACCCCCAAAACTTTAATTACCAAGATTTTAACCAGGGCAGAGAAGCTATGAATTACAGATAGAACCTACTTGTGTAATTCAGGTTTCTTTCACTTAAAATCAACCACATCTTTCAGCCGCAGTACCTATGAGCAGATGGTACAGTATGGAATAATGCAGTCAAGTTAACTCAACCCTGTTCTCGAAACTGAGAACACTGAATCATCAGCACAGATCAATCTAATTGTTTAAAACTGTGGTCACCAAAGTTCCCAAAGTTCAAACAGATGCAACCTCAGGACCTGATTTTGTAAACGGAAATTCATCAAACTTCATTCACATTCCGTACATGTCATCATCGCTCTGATAGCTATCGGTAGTCTGCGAGAAGCGGAAGGCTACAGGAAAGAATATTTCAATGTCTGCGTAAGAAACGGCTGGTATGCTCATCATGTCAATTGGAAAATTCATATAGCAGGGATTTTGAACAAGTGCGGTCTGAATAATCACTGGTCAATAAGGAATCTCTACACAACTCACTGAAAAAGAAGGGCGAACCTCTGATGAGCGATGCATCAAGGCTAAAAAGCAGTGAAGTATTATGGTATGAGCGATAAAACATTGTCACATTGTCGTCATTCTTAGAGATCAAGTCTGTCACTGTTCCAATTGCGGTCTCAATCATTTGTCCTGTATTTTTAGGTAGATCGAATCAATTATCGTCCCGTCCGTGCGGATCTACTCAAAATTCTCACCAAACCGAGCAACTAACCACAATGCAGCCGTACTCTCATCGCATTTTAGAGGCGGTATAATCTTTCCGCTTTTGTATCTACATTCCTCCATTCTAGAGAATCTCATCCCTTAACCGATCTTTCGTAGCTAAAACCTTGATTTATCGCTCCACAGTGTGCTAACCCGTTGTGTTTCACGCCGGTGACAATTATGCCCCACCCACTCAAGGAACGCCTTTCAATGTTCGCCGATCATCCAACTAACTCTCGCCGTGAATTGCAATCCCAGGTGATCGACACGAGTATTAGAGTATGCTCTAAACCGGAAAAGACTGAATCATGTTTCAACGATGATTAAGATATGAAGATTTTTCACAGACATCATTGTTTCTTTGTAGCTTTTCACTTATCGCGGAAGGCCACTCACTACCAAAGAGAATACCACATGTACCGGTTCACTCTATCAATCTACCTGTGTGTAAACTATGTATGTATGTATTTACCATATGTTTTCATCAACCAAACGGTAGACTTCCCTACCTTCCACATACCGATAACCTGATAAATAAGGCCGCTCTTTCGCATTCATTCCGAACCGAATTGGTGCAGATAAGGATTGCTCAATTCTTCCAATAACTCTTACTGGACGTTAACCGAACATGTAAATACAGGTCACCATTATGATGAAAAGCATTCAAGAAAACCAGTCATTCTGGTAGCAACACGTTGACCGTGGGGAATAATTAACCCACTTTCAGCAGTCAAGTTGAGACGAGGTCTTTATTTTGTTTGAACAACAGTCCACACTATATCATGTAACTGGAAATCCAGGACGCCAGTGTGTGAGTTGGAGGATGAACTTGCAACTTGGAACTATTCTGGTGTGGTTTATTGGCCCATGTGAGAACATGTTTGAACCTACTGCTAGGATCTGAGTAGCTAGGTGGACGAGCTCCCACAGACGAATGAGTAAAGTTATTGAAATTTTGGCATGCCACAGAATCTCTTGCTTGACTGAGACGGCCGGTGTTCTATTGCTTATGCAAAACAGAGTCTGTTCTACGGTTTTCTGTGCTCAATTTCGCGAATAACGTTGATCGCTAGGTGTGACTTGCATTTGTTAACGAGCCTGATTAGTTTGTTGGATAACATACCAAGTCAAGCCACGTAAAGTTCTGCTCGGTTTCGGTTGAAAAAGCCAATCATTACCTTCATTCATTACTAAGTCGCTGAGGCCATTTTTCGCGCAACCTCACCTCCACCCCGCTGACTCCATTTGATTTAAAATCGGTTTCCCAAGCACTAAGGAATTGATGTATTCCAGGGCTAATGAAGAACCGGGAGGGAAAGCTAATTATCGATCTGTATGCAATTACCTGTTGCGCATTACGTGGCCCGTGTGCTTTAAACAAAACACCGCTCACTGAAGTCTAGAGTAAGTAATTTATTATCACACGGAAAATTTTCGAGGCCTAAATTTGTCCCCCGTTTATGAGGAAAACCCAAACGTTCGGGCCTTTAAAATAACCATAGAAGCAGAGTCCCGATAAGTGCGATCAATCCCCACTATCAGGGAGGTCGAACCTTCTGTGATAAAATAATTTGTTTACAGTGTAATGCATGACGAGTGTGGAGTGGATCCAGTCGATGCAGGATTATCCGCTCTCCCCAAACTACTGTATTGTTAGATTGTTCAAGACGGTTCCTTGCTTTGGTATGAAAATGTTTCACCAAGTCAAAATGTTATTGCATTTTACTCTTTTGTTAACTATGGTCCTGATGGATAAGGCGAAAATAAACTTTTACCAGCATGAAATTTATAAAATATTTGTATCAGCATGATACGTTGTAGAGAAGTTAGTTACCTTGCTCCTTCCTCTCCCACCTTCACTCCTCCTATTCCCCCAGTCATTCACCTCTTGGTCCTGAGACACAACAATCCTAAATGATATTCATACATTCAGTTAGTCAGTTTCAAACAATGCGTAGATATTTCTTTCCATTTGTCGAACATTATGTTCCTTCAGTTTTTTCTACTGTGCTTCTATCTTATATCCTGATCCGTTGAAAAAATACTATTCCAAGACGTATGAATCATCCTTAATGTTTCCCCAGCGGGTGATGGTGGCTGCGTGGTTAAATCATCAAATTAGTGACCTAGAAGTGCCAGGTTCGAACCGCTACCCGTCTTTCCCATTTCTATATTTTCCCAGGCAGCATTTGTAGGCCGCGGCCCCTTTATGAAAGTTGATTGTACATTTATATGTTCAATAAGCAAATAAGGAAGTAAAAATACAATAATTTATGAAATTCATTCATGGAATGCACTAAGCAACAAAAATGTTTACACAAAAATATTCACTGGCTTTTTCCGTTGTGCGCATTCCACGTGTTCCAAATTGCAATATGCGCTAAGATCCTGAGCTTATTCAAGAATTATCCTGTCATATTGGAAGAGAACAACTTATTACTTCAATTTACATTTTATTGTATAGACAATGGACATCTCTTCCACTCGATTGATATATTGGTTTTTCCGGTATTTTGACTTGTGTTATGCAACGTTCAGGGTATATTTTGGACAAAAATTTTAACATCCTATGAATAATATGTTAGTACAACCCGTAAACGGGTACCATCCATTGCATCCCAACACGTTGAATAGTACTTAAGTGAAGAGCGTCCTGTAGTGTGGTACTCACGTGTCGCAAGCTAATAAGGGTCACACCGGATACCATGAGTTGTTAGCTCATCTAATAGTTTCCCCTACTACGTCCAGATTGGAATCCTAACCTGCAAGCACTGATGGTTCGCAACAAGAAAAAAGAGCACTACATCGCTTCAAAGCCAATTTACGTAGAAGAGGGACTCCGCAGTTGGTTGACCATGAAATGCTGTGGTAACCATGTCTTTATGAGCATTCTGAAACTTACAACAATCATTGAACCTGCAACTTTTCCACATTTTTTTCCTACCATTTTCGGAGTATTTGGTTCACTTCTCTCGAGAATTTTTCTCATCTCGGATAAGATCTATTTATTCTCAATCGTAATCAGCAATTCCGCATCCGTATTTGGGCCATATCTCGATCTGTGAACAAAATGACTGAACTTTTGCAAACATGGCTGAGTTTCATCTCGACATGGTTGGTTCATTATCCTTTACTTTCTCCGAAATCCGATGTCCTGTCGCAATTTAGTTAACTGCCGCCCATCAAACGGCCTTCCGTTCACTTTATCGCATTCCAGAGTCACCAATGGGAAACAATCATCATTCGATGAATTTCGATTAACCTTCTTTTGTGTATTCAAATTGGTACCCCGGTTTTGCAGGGATCTTATGTCAGTTTCACATGATATGTTGCACTGCTTCAAACATCAAAATTAGCAAACAGTGTGAGGATTATCTTCAAATATCGTCGAAACTATTGCAAAGTTAAGAACAAATAAAGCAAATGAATTCCGTAGAGTATGAAGATTAATCTGACTAGTGTACTAGACTATTTAATAAATAGCTTCGGTTGAAAGTGAGCACCAGTAAGTGCACATCCCTTCTTTTATGTATGATTGGTGGATGTGCTGAATCAACTGGGACAAAAACCCATCAAGTGCTTCCAGCACTTCTCTATGGTGGTTGTCGTTTATTTCGTGCCAAGCGTATTCTGCTTCAACCATTCAACTAGTATCACAACCCTTGGAGGTCAGTACATGATTGGTTGTATTGTATTGTGTATAAATCATTTGGAACCGCATAATCAGTATTCCGGTAATGAAATTGGCAGTAAGTTTGTTTTCTCGTTGTTATACTTCGCGTTCAGTCCTCATTT